AAAAAAAAACCCAGACAATTACAAATCAGAGATATCCTACAGGAGAGGGGGCCAGAGAAGGGTCTGAAGGAGGGAAGGAGGAATGTGGGTGACTGTGGTGATGGTGGGGGGGGCTAAGTAAATATTGTTGTAAAATGAACAATCTTGTAAATAGATATATAAATTAATAATTCAAAAAGTCTATTCCTGCCTGAGAAGGAACAGGAGGCCTGTTGCAGGGGTCCAAAGCCAGCTCTTACCCTGTATGTGCTGAAGATCTGTAAACCCGTTTGTGCAATTCCACGTGCATTTTAACAAACCAAACTCTGTTCTCTTGGTAGATCTACTTCGCCCATGCGGCCCTGAGGTGGGTAGAGAGAGCTAACCTGGATGGCTCACAGCGGGAGCGGCTCATCAATGAAACAGTAGGTGCGCCCCAAGCCCTTGCTGTGGACTGGCTCAACCGCAGATTGTACTGGACAGACAGAGGGTATGTTTCCTCCTTGGGTTGTAAGCCGCGTGGGGTGGCAGCGGCGGGATAAGTAACCCGCCGCCTTGTCAAACCCAGGAAAATAGTGGTAGGCACTTGGTCGAGACATCAGGAAGACGCCTCCATATCTGTTCCCACTCCCCGCCCCCTTCTCCTGCTACCCAGCGGGATATTCCGACTGGATTTGTATCCAAGAGAGAGATGTAAGACCCCAGAGTGGCAGATTTTTACAGTTTGGGCTGCTGTCCTCAGAGAAACGCAACCGCCGCCTGAATGCAGTCAACAAACGCTCTGAGCATCCACCGTGCTAAGGCTCCTGCCTGGGGGTGCACACGGCTGGCGACAGGTACCCCCAGCCAGGGCACACATGCAGACACTGGTCTGAATAGCTTGGCTAGAAAGGCTTGACGCCTTGCCGTTGGGTGTGCTCTCAAGGGAGGGCCGGAAAAGCTGCCCGACCCACTAGCCCCCCTCCCTGTGCAGACAGAGAGTGATTTATCAAGCTTCCATGACAGCGGGTGATGACTCTTTGGCTGGCTCTGGTAGTTGGGCAGAGTGCGGTGCAGCAGGAAGGGCCCTGTGAGGGGAGAGGTGGTCAGCTCTGCTCTCATGGAAACTGCGGGCACGGCGGGAGCGTGGAGTTCCTGCGCCCAGCACAATGCTTAGCCCCCCTGCCTGGCTTCTTGGGGGGGGAAGAGGCTAATGACAGCCAGCCTGTAGCGTCTGGTTAAGGATGCTGTGTGGAGCCCATGTTTCCCCTGGAGTCAGTCGCCCAACGCCCACCCTGCGGACAGGGTGCTATGCTTCACTCTTTCGGTCCCAGAAAATGGTTTTTTGCTCCACCAACTCACAGGAAACAAAAGGGCTTTAAGCGAGCCAGGTGTGTGATGTGCTGTGCATTATGAGCAACAGGCGCTTTTAGCTCATTGTTCCCTTGTGCACTTATTCGTTCCTTCCTTCTGCACTTAACCACAGCCTCATTTCTTCATTCTTGGTATTTACTTATTGAATTACCACTGTGCCTCAGACACTGTGCAAAGTCAGAGCTTTCTACGTATAATACCACTGAATTCCCACGGGTCAGTTTTCTTATCCCCAAAGATTAAAAAACTGAAAAGCGGGCCCTTCCTGGTGGCGTATGGGTTAAAGCACCGCATTATGAAGCTCTCCGAAGCCACTGAGTTCGGTCCCTACCCTGGAGGTGACCCACATGACCCGGCAGACCTCTCCTGACCCGCCTGCTGCGGCCCTCAACAGGGTACCTGGTCCATCGGCCTGTCCTACTCCCCACTCTGTCTCTAGTGAATCCTCTCACACACCACATCCCTGGCCTGTACCCCAGTTCTGTAAGCATGAATAAATAAATCCTAAAAAACAAAAACAAATACAAAAAAACCTGAAAATCAAAGCAGTAAAAAAACTTTCCCAAGGCCAAGCAGCCAGCGAGCAGTGGATCTGAAATTAGAAGTCATGGATGTGTTTGCAAAGCTTAGGCTTTTAATAATCATAGATATGTACCCCTTCCCAAGTACCTTGATTAAAATATGCCCCCACGGGATCCTATAACAAGCGAAAGTCAACTTCACTTGTAGCCATGACAAAAATCAAAGTGACGGTCTCCTCTGCATTGAACCTACTTAAAAGGACACAGAAAAATGCGGGTGGTGTATAATAACAGGGCGCAACCCTCCGCTTCTCTGAAGAGTAACCATGATCCGGATGACAGATGTCAGCCCTCTTGGCCCCCGAGGATGCTGGGTCTTCTCATTGTACCCACAGTCCATGGCATGTCTCATGTTCGCAGTGTGTGGTTAATAGCACCGTGTGCCCTGTACCGAGTGCCCTGTGCTGGCCAATCAGACCTCAGATTCCCTGGATTCGTTGTCTCGGGTAATAACAAACCCCTCTGAAGTCGTCGTCCCCTAAAGGCAGCTGTGGAAAGCAACCTTTAATTTGTGTGGAAATGAGAGGTTTACAGTTTGAAAACCTGGATAGTAGCTAGAAATTGGATTTAAATAACAGATTCCAGCTCGTGATAGTAGATTATGGTGACTCCTAACCAAGTAGCAGCAGAGAGGAGCTTACCTCTCCTGGTGGCTTGGAGTTGGGTGTCCACGTTGGTGTAGAAAGAAAGCTAATGGCTCGTCTGGTCAGCCAAGCTATGATGTGGTATCAAGGAATCCTGGTTCCTGAAGCCAACTGTCCAGTAAAGAGGAAATAAGGGGGGCAGCACATAAGGAAAGAGAACTGTTCACTCATGGTTTTGAGACATCAGGAACTACAGAGATAAAGCAGACAACCACTCTTAACCAGCTGCAGTGGGGGCGATGAGAAGCTACAAAAAGAATCAGGTTCTCCCAATCCAGACGTCCATGCGGGTCTTTGCTTTCTTGTCACCACCCTGGAGTCAGATTTGCTTCCTGGCTGAGTCTGATAGAAGTGTCTGATTAGATGACCCCGTGGGAGCCTCAAGAGTAAATGCCAGCAACCCTGCCTTGAGGCAGCTGGATAAATGGTCGCAAAACACCCACCGCCCTGGGAAGGTAGTTTGCAAAGGGCACTTGGCCCTGCATAGGCCCAGAGCTACCTCAACTTTTACCCCGACCTGCTGGTGCCCACAGGGGACGGTGTGAGCTGTTCCCAGCTGGCGGCTACAAGACCTTTAGCCTTTTTGCAGAGCTGGGAGAAGAGGATGGGCCTCCCCCCCCCCTTTGTTCAGGGTAGACCTGATTCACACTCGCACAATTTGCCCACAGAACGAGGAGGCAGCCCTGCCAGGTGTTTGTTGACTGAGTCAAAGCGTTAAGCTTTACAGTCTGCAGAAAATGCCACTGCTTTATGATAAGCCTCCCTCTCACTCCCCCCTCGCTGTCGGGTGGAACTACAAGCTCTATAAGGACACAGACAGGGTTTTGTTCACTTTTGTGTCTCCAAGGCTTAAGCACACAGTAGATGTTCAGTAAATACTTCTTGGATAATATTGAGTTGATAAATGGAAACATTGAGCCACAGGAATCCCGGAGCTTAGAGCAGCTGAACAAGATTCAAATTAATATCTCACTGTGGTTTTCTTCCCTGCCAGATGCCAAAGGTTATAATTATTTCGAATGTAAAGATCAGCATGCACTCTTTCTGTGCAATGCCCCCCCCCCCCATTAGAGTCATACAGAGGCAAAAAAGCATAAACGTTACCGCTTAGCTGTTCTGGGCTCTGGGACTCCAGTCCACGCTCCCTGCACACCCTCATCTGTGAGCCCGGGGCTCACGTCTCTCCCACCGTGGCGTCCACTGGCTTCAACAGGACAGGGAGGCTGTGGAGAGACCTCCGTCCTTCTCATCCTGCTCTGTCCCCTGCTAGGCCCGACACCCTCCCCTCTCACCTCATCTTAGGCACATCCTCCGTGCATTTTAATTGACTGGAAAAAAATATTTAAAAAGTAATTTATTTTTATGCATACAGAGCTGAGGTACAGGTCAGAGGTGGGGGGGAGGGTGCTGGTGTGAGAGGATTCACCAGAGATACAGTGGGGAACAGAACAAGCAGATCTACTGATATACACTGTTGAAGAGAGGCGTGGGTGAGACAGGAGAGGTCTGCTGTGCCATGTGGGTCAGCACCCAGGCTGGAAATCAAACTCATGCTGCAGTGGGTGGCAATAGCTTCATAGTGCTGAGACTTAATGCCTTGTGCCACCAGAGAGGCCCTTGCATAAAAATTTAATTCATGCATAGAACTGGGGTGCAGGCCAGAGGTGGGGAGGGACAGAGGATTCATCAGAGACAGAGTGGGGAGCAGAACAAGCAGATGGGATGGACTGAAACACACTGCTGAGGGGAGCAGCGGGGAGACAGGAGAGATCTGCTGTGTCCGACATGTGCCAGTGAGGCAGCTCCCTGGCTGGGCATTGAACTCAGGCCTCAGTGCTGACAGCTCTGAGACTTAACCCCTAGCCCAGCACAAAGGCCCGAAAGTAAAGCTCATGTTTCACCTGTTGTAGGAAATCTCTCATTGAAGGGAGTGATTTAAATGGAAGACATCGTCAAGTCGTCATTCAGGAGGACACCTCCCAGCCTCAAGGAATTGCTGTTCATCCCATGGCCAAGTAGGTGTTGTGGAAAGAAGGACCCTGCTGAGGTCAGCGCGCTTTTGCTAACTCGTGTCCAGTCTTCCCGAGGCCATAGGGGGCGGATGGGAAGAGAAACCTGGCGTGCTCTCCGCCGCTCAGCTGTCAGACGTCCCCAGGCTGTTTGTGGCTCTTGATTTCCTCCTCTTGTATAGAAATGATATTGCTTAGCTACCCTTTCATTTTAGGCAAATTCTATTTCCTTTTGCAAAGAAGCTATATTTTATCCCATTAAATATAAGCCCATGAAGCTACTGTCTTTTATCTATATTATGGCTTTCCCGAGCAGAGGGCCTTTGAACAGAATGATCTGAATTCTGTTTAGAAAAATCATTGGCTTTAGGGAATCAAGTAAGAGGCCATTTCTAGAATTAGAAGGAGGAAGCAGAAATCACTAAAAATGAGAATACTATTTGTTAATTGTAAATCTGTGAGTTGGGCTGAGTTCAGAGAGTTGGGGAGACTAAAGGATTCCTTTTATCTGTTAAAAGAACAAGGTTGAAACTGACCTTATTTGTGATAGTTTAAAATATATATGTGTGTGTGTGTGTGTACATATATACACACACATATATATTTACATTATCCCAAAGATTTATTTTATTTATTTACACATACAAAAACCAGGGTGCAGGCCAGAGGTGTGGGGGTTGGGGGTGAGAGGATTCACCAGACACAGATTAGGGAGCAGAACAGGTCGATCTACTGAAATCCACTGCTGAGGGGAGCAGCGGGTGAGACGTAGTGGGTGAGACAGGAGAGGTCTGCTGCGCCATGTGGGTCAGCTCCCTGGCCGGGGATGGAACTCAGTCCATAGTGGTGATAACACTGAGACTTAACCCTTAGGCCACCATTGAGCCTGCATGCAAATTTTATTTGTTGTATGCTTCCTTGATTAAAGGAGATTGTTCTGGACTGATGTTGGGATTCGCCCACGAATTGAAAGTTCTTCTCTTGAAGGCTCTGGCCGAAGGGTCATCGCCAGCTCTGGTCTGGCCTGGCCCAGTGGACTGGCCATCGACTACCTGACCGACCGGTTATATTGGTGTGATGCTGAGCAGGCTGTAATAGAAATGGCACATCTGGATGGTTCTAGACGCCAACGACTTCCCCAGGATGATGTCGGTAAGGCCTTGGGAGGGTGACTTCTTCATGTTGACCGAGCGTCGATGAGTGTTACAAGTAAACTTTGTTCACAAGCACACACATCACAGACCCATAACCCTGTGGTGAGGGACAGACAGACAGACAGGAAACAGACTTCTCCAGGGATCTAGGAGGGAGGAAGATTACCTTAGCATTGGAACACTGGGTTGAAAATAGTGATGGATAATCTTTTCTCTCTGCCAAGCTTTCCCCAAAGCAGAATGAAGATAATAAAATTTTCTGTAAGAAATGAAGTAAGGGAACAGACAAAAACAAATCAAAACAAACCCTGAAATGTGACTGCGGAACTGAGGCTGCCAGAGGGGAACTTGAGGGGTGGGGAGTAGAGGTAGGGGGTCATTATTACAGGAGGTTTGGTGGTGGGTGTGATGTGCTGACATACACTAGCAGAGGGGTGAACCTGTACCCCTAAAACACATACAGTATTGTAAGTCCGCTTGCCTCAATAAGCATATTTTTTTAAAGATCACATTGGGCAGCTTAAAAATAAAGACACAAAAACAATGGAAGTATGGAAACACATTTCTCAGCTGCTCTCAGAATGCGAACTTGATTCGGCTGTTATCATTTGCAGTGTTTCACAAACCGTCATTTTTTTTTTTTATGTTTATTTGTATATACAGAACTGGGGTACAGGCCAGAGGCTCAGGGGCGGTGAGAGGCTTCACCAGAGACAGAGTGGGGAGCAGAACAGGCAGATCGATGAAGTACACTGCTGAGGGGAGCAGCGGGCGGGTCAGGAGAGGTCTGCCACACCATGTGGTCACCTCCAGGGCAGGCGGGAATCGAACTCATGCGGAAGTGGCTTTAGCTTCTCAGTGCTGTGCTTTAACCCGCTGCGCCACCAGGGAGGGCTTCACAAACTGTCATTTTTACAGCCACGTAATATCACCTCAGACATGCGTGAATATCTGTACAACACGTGCAAAAGTTAATAAGCATTGTTTTCTCATTTTGCATAGGGATGTTATTTATGTGTATAAATATATATAAAACACTGTTCTGAGCTGTTCAAAACAACCGATGATTATAGAGCAGTGGGAGATTCATTCACTTCAGGGAATCTACAAACACAGATTGGGATTGGGCCAGATGGTGAGCAGATGGTGACAAGGATGCAGTTTGGTCGTTGAGTTACTACTATACAGATACGTGGACTGGACCGAATTTTGAATGTACTGGGAATCACTGCATGTTCATGAGCAGGAAATGCCTATGATAAGATTGGCATTGGAGGGTGACAACCTCTTAGTTTACAGTGTAGTCTGGCTTGGACTGGAATTTGAAGAGAAAGAAAGCAGTATGAGGCTATGACACTTAGTGCAGACAGCAGTCAATGGAGTCCTGAGTTAGAAAGCTGTGATTTTTTAGTGGGTATGCAACAGGTGCAACAGGTCAGAGCACCACATTATGAAGCTCTCTGAAGCCACTGCAGCAGGAGTTCAATCCCCAGCCAGGGAGCTGACCCACATGGTGAGGCAGACCTCTCCTGACCCTCCCGCTGCTCCCCTCAGCAGTGTATTTCAGTTTATCTGCCTGTTCTGCTCCCCGCTCTGTCTCAGGGGAATCTGCTCCCCCACCACTTCTGGTCTGTATCCCAGTTCTGTAAACATAAATAAATAAATCTTTAAAAAACAAAAAGTACCAGAAAGAAATATTAGACAGAAAAAAAAGATACCTATTTTGACCATTATCTTTGGTTTTAGGGGTAATCAATACCTCAATTTGTACTACACAGTAAATAGGTCAAGACATGTATACTTGAAAACTTTAATATTTTCAAGTTTCTTTAAGAATCGAAGACTCTTCTCAATAAGTGATGCACTTGTGTATAATCAAATTCTGTTCATTCATTCTCAGAACAGATCTTCACTATATTATAGGGAGTGGAGATCAAGTGTAAAGTAAAATGATAAGGGTTTCCTGTGAAGTTATGGAGCCTAGTGGGAGACATATCATTAAATATATATATATATTCTAATATAGATCGCAATATGTAGATATATATATTCTAAATACATATAAAGGTATAGCTCTAATGTATATAGATATAAAGGTATAGCTCTAATAGTATATATATAGAGATTGCAATATATAGATATATATATTTCAAATAAATATAAAGGTATAGCTCTAATATCTGCAAGGATGAAGGTTAAAATGAAAAAATTTACACTGAAGATATCATGTTATAAACCAAAATGTATAACGTGCATTTGGTTAGTAATTTATATTTCAACTTTAATGTAGAAACAGTGCAACTTCCTATTAAAGGCCATTACCACATAACTGGAAATTAAGACATCAAAAAAAAAAAAAAAAAATTCCCATCGTTATAGCGCCATCTACTGGCACGAAAGGGGTGGCGTCTCAACCTGCTTTTTGGATTTTTAATGTAAACATTGACATAATTCACTGTTCATTTAAAATGCAGTCGTGGATCATCTCTGATAAGGGTTATATATAGAATGTGGTGGTGACTGGGAAGTTGTCGGCTAATTCTGGCATGTGCTGTGAAGTGGATGGATCCATAGGACATTGTGCTATGCTAAAGTAAGCCAGGCACAAAGGACAAGTATTGTGTGACTCCATTTATGGGATCCACAGAAGCGTCAGAGCCACAGATGCAGAAAGTGGGTGATGGTTGCTAGGACTAGGTGTGTGTGTGTGGGGGGTTACTGGATATAGCGGTTCAGTTTTATGACCACGTGAATGTCATCAGCACCAAGCACGACTGAACTGTACATTTCAGGTAAGTACATGCTGCCTTATCTGTTTTCCACCAAAAATTAAACATGAAGGGATAAAAAATTCTCTTGCCTTTATGGTTGCTCCTGACTCTGGCCACTGCAGACAGGAGTGTCCGTTCCTCTGCTCACGAAATGCTGGGCTCTGTCTTCTCAGAGGGCCTCAGGGACATGAAGGGTGGGCCTTGTTGAGATGGGTGGGAAAGCCCACTGAGGCAATAAGAACCGTGAGAATGGAGGCAGGAGATAATAAGCGGGTTTCCAAAAAATTGGTAAGAAGGGAAGGAAAGAAACAACAGGGAGCTGGAAGGATGACGGAGTGGACATTTAGAGATGGGCGAGATGTCAAGAGTCACGTAGCCAGGGAAAGGAGGAGAGCTGGATGAAGACAGAAAAAGCGCAGCAACAGAACTAGCTCCGAGGCTGGCAGGGAGACGTGAGGATTCACCAGAGACAGAGTGGGGAGCAGAACAGGCTGATCTACTGAAACACTGCTGAGGGGAGCAGCGGGCGGGTCAGGAGAGGTCTGCCAAGCCATGTGGGTCACTCCCCAGCCGGGGATCGAACTCATACTGCAGTGGCTACAGATAGCTCCACAGTGCTTTGCTTCACCGTCTTGCACCACCAGGGTGGCCCCCAACCTGTGAATTTTATCTACAACTTTTCATTGTCCTTGAAAAGACAGTTCACTGGCAGGAAATTATCGGGGACAGAATCACTGCACAAAGAAAGAGAGAGCAGGGTGAGAACCTAGCCAGCCCCTGCTGCGCCAGACTCCGAAGATAATAATGTAAAAGTGCTTTGGCCCCTGCACTTCTTGTTTGAAAAGATAGACAGTTCTTTCAGTTACTCCCGTAAAGATACAGAATGGCATATTCAAGGATAGAGTGTGTATCCATATAGAATGGCCTATTTAAGAGAAGTCTTTATTCTTAGGTGAATTCTTTTAAAAATGACTGGTTTATGTCCATCAAGCTCACGTTCTCATATTTGGGTGGCTTCTCCCCAGGTTGGCTTCTAGGATGAGGCTCCTGCCCCTTGTGGGGTCTCTGTGGAGGCTGGCTCTTGCCTTGCTTAGCCGCTAAGTCCTGATTTACTGTAGGAATTGTGTGGGGATGGGTCTTAAGCCTCGACCTTTTAAAAGCTGTCAGAGCACAGGCAGGTCTGTGTGACGCTTTGGGCTGGATTGTAGGTTACCCTTTTGCTGTGGCTGTGTTCGGGGACCACCTATGGTTCTCTGATTGGAGCCAGCCTTCGGTGATCAGAGTGAACAAGAGGACTGGGACGGACAGGCTACGTCTCCGAGGCAGCATGCTGAAGCCCTCGTCTCTGGCTGTCATTCACCCGCTGGCGAAACCAGGTACCTTGGGCAAATACTGGGTCTGTCTTTGACGCGTCTGCAGCTATTATAGTTGATTGATGGAGGTGGGAGGCTGGCGGCTGCCCCTGATCTGAGTAGATGTTAAGATTTGCTGACATTTGGATTTTGTTGACAGTAAGACAATCTGGGGTGACTTGAGCTTTCCCCCCTCCAATCTCATCTTTGCTTCTCTGAACAGAGTTCACCTAACTGCCACCTGCATTTCAAAGACTCTTGGGTCGAAGACATTATAAAGGTGGGGTGGGGTGAAACTTAAAGGTTTTGTCAATATTGGGTTCGCCCACCTCTACAAGATGAGTACACATGCGTCAGCAATAGCACCTGGGAAAGCAGCCTGTGTCCCCTAGGATCCTTTTTCTGGATTGTTCTTTGCTCATTTGCTTAAATTGTAATTCCTGATGAAGAGTGTCTTAAAATCACTATCCAACCTCACCGATGGTCATGAGGATTTTAAACCAGTGACTCCTCGCACGAGTTCTTCTGAAATAACTCTAGACGTAGACACTGCGTCTCTCTCTCCAAAAGCTAAGGGCACTGATTTGCATCAGAGGTGTCTGATGGCCCCTAAAACCATCTGCGAATGTCCCCCTGTTCCTCCAGGAGCGGATCCCTGCATACATCAGAACGGAGGCTGCGAACACATTTGTGAACAGAGGTTTGGGCTTGCTCGATGTTTGTGTCGGGAAGGTTTTGTCAAAGCCCCAGATGGAAAGGCGTGCGTGGCCTTGAGTGGACACCAGAAGCCGACAGGTGAGATGAGATCCTGGGTCCCTCCGTCCTCTCATCAGATGCCTGGTGGGAGCCGGGCGTATGTGGTTGAGCTGGTCACTAAGTCAGGTAGACTCTGCGAGTTTCCCTGAGTTGTCTTACTGAGAGCCCAAACTCACAGCAACAAATAGCCCTAGCTGTCAATTAAGTCCAACTTTTCTTGAATCATGAGATAATTTAATGGTCTCTGTTGACCTTCAATAGGTAGTGAAGCAGACGTCAGTAGCCCCATGACACCATCGGGCATCTTATCCCAGGCTGGAGAGCTGGGAGATAATGACACAGAATCTCAGCGTGAGCTGGTGGCTGAAATCATGGTATCAGGTATGAACGATGAATTTTCTGATATAATTTTGGTTTCAACACTTTCCAGTCTACCATTGGAAAGGCTAAATCATCTTTGTAAGTTCATGTTGGCAACATCTACACAAAGCTAAGCTCTGGTCCTGTCTCTCTTCCGAATGGTGGGCAGAAGTTTATTCACGGAAAGGCTTTGGACAGAAACGTCTTTGGAGAAATCAAATTTGGAAACAAAGGTGGGAAATAGGACAGAACAGATTTGCATGTATCCCCATCCAAACCTAGTAGTCCACCCGTGGCAAATGTTGGGATTTTTTCTTCTAATATATTACATGCTTTTCAGCCAAATGGTAAATACTAGCTCAGCATGTAACAACTTTAGGCTACCGCATTCTTATTCTGTATCCACTCATGAGGGCAGTGGTTTTTCAAACAAGGGTTAGCTCAGGCCTAGAACTTCTGCAGACCTTACTTCTTCTTCACTCTTTAAGTCTCTGCCTTTCAGTCCAGTCATCTAGGCTCTGAAACGTCTCATACATTTATATTTCTGATTACAACTTTATTATCCTACAGAGCCCATGGCTAAAAATAAGGTGGCCAACTCCAAATTGGGACATTAAATACACTTAACAAAGTGCTTATCCAGCTTTTGCCATCTGCAGACTACAGACTGTGAAGTTTTACCAAACACAGAGGTGGATATTTACAGCACTAATAACGTGCATGGAACTTTACCGCTTACTGGGCACCTTAGACATAACCTCTAATTTGATTCTTATCACAATCCACCCTTTGATAGGTGCAGAAATTGAGACAGTTTTGTTTAGTGACTTGACCAAAGATTTTGAAAATTATAACCAAGTAATTCATGTCAAGGAAAGAAAATATCATCACATCGGGAATAATAGTTCATTGAGAGATTTGATGTGTCCTTTATTGCAATAAAACACCATAAATAAATATTAGCAGAGTAAAGAGCCTTTTCACAGTCACTAGGTGTCCCTGGAAGTTCACAGAGCATATCTGCAGAGACTAATATTTGGGCACTCAAAGAGCCAGGTGAATGACAGATAGTAATTTAGCCCATGGATGATGAGATGGGGATGATGTAAGAGATGGTGAGAGGTTTGGAATCCATGTAGAACAGTCTATGTTTGGCTGCAAACCTGGAAACTATTCTCTGCCTTCTGCAGCGTAGATGGAATTGATGGCTTAGGTGAAAATTACCTCACTTTTCTGTAGCCACGTTGTTGTGTGCTATTTTGTGTTAGACTGTAAAGTTTTAGTTCTGCCTATGTTCGTTTAAGAGAGCTTTCTGATATTTGTAGTGAGATTCCATTTCTGGAAAGTGTATCTGCTTAAAAGATTTTGAAAAGTCTTTAAGAAGAGATTGACCTAAAATGTAATATTCTCCAAAGACATACACAGTTAATGTGTAGCAAATAGATCTGTCTATAACATGACAGAGATTCACTTATAAAAAGCATCATTCTCAAATTTGCTAAATTCATGAATTATTCTTAGGTCATGAATAAATGGAATGTTCTTCTCTTTCTTTTTCTTCCATTAAGAGGACAGATTTATTGGGAAAAGGAGAAGGAAAAAGAGAGCCATCTATATAATCACAGGCCAGCAGGAGCGCTGCCTGGCTGTCAGATTTCAAGGCTTTGTTTTGGGTTGATTTTGTCCATTTCTTTACATTATAAAATGCACATTTCTTTCTCTTTTTTATAAATATAATTACTAAGATTTATTTTGTCTTTACTTATGTATGCAAGAACTGGGATGTAGACCAGAGGTGTCAGGGTGAGAGGATTCACCAGAGACAGAGTGGGGAGCAGAGCAGGCAGATCAACAAAGTACACTGCTGAGGGGAGCAGCGGGCGGGTCAGGAGAGGTCTGCTGCACCATGTGGGTCAGCTCCAGACCTCAGAATTCAACGGTGATAGGGCTGAGACTTAACCTCTAGGCTACCAGAAAGGCTCATAATTCTCCATCATCCTTATCACAGAGGGCTTTTAAAATAAGGTTTTCTTTGAGTCCTTAGAACAATCATGTGAAGGAAGCTGTACAGTAATCATCCCCAGTGTTAGAGAAGAAGGTGATACGCAGACAGTTCTTCTAGGGCAAGTTTGCAACAGAATCAACCTCAGCTGTCCCCCCCAACTCTTGTTCCCCACTTCACAGCCTTTGCTTTAGGTTATGCAAGTCTGCCTTGGGGTTTGCAAGTTACCATATACATCCTGAATCATCTTCTAATAGAAAATAATTCCGCGAGTGATTTAAGTGTGTTGGGTGACTGGATACTCCATCATACACCCAGCACAGCCATGTGATTTGGGACCTAGTCCTCCAAAGAAATTCCAGCCCATCCTGAAGAATCTGGAGTAGCAAGAGATGATGTTAGTGGGGGCACAGGTGTTCCCACAAGAGACCTCCCTCAGGTAGCACAGAGATGTGCGAACCGTCTGCTTTCACATGGTATCTCAATCCATCTACCTAGATGGTTGAACTTTAATTTATAGGCAAGTTTGGAGGGCTTTCTTTAACCTCTCCCACTCTCAGGTCAGCGAGCTTACCAGCCAGTAGACAGGCGACAGCTTCCATTCCACTGTGGGATATCAGCCCCTGCCCCAAGACCCCGCAGGGAGGAAGTACCTGGAGAATGAACATGGATATAAGTCATACAGGGAAGAAAAAAACGTGCTCGTGTTTATGGCTCAATGTGCAACTCTGCCCCTGAGGCATTTACTTCTCGATGGAGTATGAAATGAAATGATCCATGGGTAGCGTTTAGCTCGTATGGTTCATGACTTTGTAAAAGTGCCTTGGGGCTTGCAAGCCACAGCATCAATCTTGATAATAAGCACACAAGGTGACATACAAATTCTGTTCTATGTGACGCAGAATTTCAGTAGATTGACAATAAGTCTTTCCCTTGGCCGTGTTGAGACAGAGCTCTCTATGCACTACAAAATGGCCTTTGTGACTGGAGGACAAGAATAGGTTGACTGTGACATTCGTATGCCACGATGACGAGGGAATTCTCAAGTATGCAAACTTGAAATTTGAATCCATCTACTCCTCATCACTTTAAAGTTCAAATTTGCAAATGTTTTTTTTAAAAAAATAAGATCCCATAGGGCTGTTTGAACATCAGCCAGCAATTCAAAGCTGAAGCTTGCTGAGGACATGTATACAGAAACGCCATCTGCAGGATCCTTTAGCATAGATGGAGCTTACAGGTCAACCAGATACTTCTGCTTGGAGGTGAGCCTGCCCCAGACTCTGGGAAAGGAACCACTGTCATAGTCTGCAGAACTCATAAAACACAAATGTAGCTCCTCTTTGGCCTGGAAATGATTGCCTGGCTTTTACTGTCTGCAGATGATGATGACTGTGGCCCTCGGGGGTGTGGCCCCTACGCTCAGTGTGTCTTCGAGGGAGAGAATGCCACGTGCCAGTGCTGGAAAGGGTTCGCTGGGGATGGACACGTATGTTCTGGTAAGAACAGAGGCTAGAGAGGCATCTGGTCTGGAAAACAGAGAACCAGAAACATTTCTTCAAGTTGGACTCACTCAAGGTCTCTACAAGGGTTTCTGTCATTAGCAGGATTGAATAATAAGTCAGTCCTTTTTTTTTTTTTTCAAAAAAATTTATCTATTTACTTATGCATGCAAGAGCTCTAGACCAGAAATGCAAGGAGGTAAAAGGATTCACCAGGCACAGTGGGGAGCAGAACAGGCAGATGGACGAAGTACACTGCTGAGGAGAGCAGCGGGCGGGTCAGGAGAGGTCTGCTGTGCCATGTGGGTCACTTCCCTGGCTGGGGATCAAACTTGTACTACAGTGGCTGTGGATAGCTTCCTAGTGCTGAGACTTAATCCTTTGCATACCAGGGAGGCCCTAAATCAGTTGACATTACCTGGAAGGATAATGGCTGGCATGTAGAGAAATGTATGTTTACATGACATTATATTAAAATAATCATATTTTAATAATAATATCATATACCCTGTTGATAACAAGGAGAATCTAGGATTCGCTCAGAAACACAAATGTGACTTTAAGTCGAATGTATCAATTCCCCAGTTGCAATGAAAACAAACTTTGGCCCTCTACCCCCCAAAGTTTAGGTCTGAAGTTTTCATTTTCTCAGTAGGTTGTGGTGGATAGACTAAGCTTTCATGCTGAGGTCCTTAAATAAGTGAGAGATTATGAAACTATCTCAGTCCCTATGGTCTGAGTCTCCAGGACAGCGACTGACGTATGGACCCCGTTGTGGGGAGACTGTGATCCATCCAGATGTGCGCTGTATGTTCCAGACACTGGGATTGCATCTCTTGCCAGGGGGTTCACCAGCATGATGCGTGCGTGAAGTATGGGCGGCCCCCATATTTCACCAGCCTCTCATTCTGCCCACAGACATAGACGAGTGCAGGGTCCCTGTCTCGCCATGCCCCACCACCTCCTCTGTGTGCATCAATACGGAAGGCAGCTACGTGTGCCGCTGCTCGGAGGGCTACCATGGAGACGGGGTCCACTGTGTGGGTAAGTGGGGTGCCTGGGCGGGGGGTCCTACGGGCCCAGGTAGGCATGGCGGCGGGCAAAGTGGAAACGCTTCCAGTTCTCAGTGAAGAGTCAAGTTATTGCCTCTGTGTCAAGGGCCCAGAGGGCTGACTTTTCTGCTTTTCTAGTTCTTTCTGTGAAGCGGGTGTCCCTGTTCAGCCACACGTGGGGCTCAAACGGGAGCCCTCCCAATTGACTGGGGAGGATTGGACAGCACTTTTTTAAAAGATTTATTTATTTACTCATACAAAAACTAGGGTACAGGGCAGAGGTGCAGGGGGTGAAAAGACTCACCAGAAAGAGTGGGGAGCAGAACAGGCAGATGGACTGAAACACACTGCTGAGGGGAGCAGTGGGCAAGGCAGAAGAGGTCTGCTGCGCCATGTGGGTCACCTCCCTGGCCGGGGATCGAACTTGGGCTGCAGTGGCTGTGGCTAGCTTCACAGTGCTGTGCTTTAACCCACTGAGCCACCAGGGAGGGCCCTGGACAGAATTTCCTTTGTCCCTGAGTGTGGCACTTAGGGGTGACCACCGAGGGGAGGAGGCTTATTGGCAAGGGCAGTTGTGCGTGTTTAGGAGAGAAGTGTGATCGAAAGGGACGCTGAAGAAGTGCCCCAGAGGGCAGGCCCAGCCCCCGGCACAAGGACTAGTCACAAACTCCTTTCCTCATCACTGCCATCTGCCAACCCCAGGCGGGCCTCACCCCCTTCCAGGTGCGGGTGGCTTAGCATCTCTGTACAGGTGGGGACCTGCCTGAAGCCAGCGTGGCCCTGGAAGTGGTTACCTGAAGTCTCACAGGACTTTACAAGGCCTTTTGGGGTATTTGCTTTTCCTTACGAACCCATGAAAATCTTTCCACAGCGAGAAACAGATGCCCTGATAAGAAGCTGCAATGGGACTGTGTTCTCCCACACACTGAGGCTGAAGCTGAAATATCAGTCAGAGCTACCAATTGTCTGAATCTGCTTGGTTTAAATCAGACCTTTATCAGATTAGTTTTATGGAATCCAGAGACATCTGTAAATGCTCTTTTAAGCACATATTTGGCTGTCAGTCAGGAAAATGTCATTGCTCTGATTAAACAGGCTCATAGGTAATTTAGACAAACAGGCTTCATATTTAATTTACTCAGAAGAGACAGGAAGGTATACTTTCTCGGATGTTTAAATTCATTGCACTCTTGATTCTCTGTTCTAACCCAAGTCCTGCGGGTAGTGAGCCTGCAGTAGTGGGGTATCAGAGCCTCCTGCCTCTGGGACACCCCGTCCCGACCCCATGGGAGCCCGGGACCTGTTTCTACTCCCCACTCCCAGTGTTTGTGCAGACACGGTGCTTGGAAGCACACCTGCCAAGCCCAGGACTAAGAAGCATGGGGCCCAACAAGGTGGTACAGGCAGGACAGGGTCTCAAGGAAATACAACTGGGCTCAAAGAAATACGACTGGGTAAAGAAAGGTTTGCATTATACAGAGGTGAAGACAGTGATGGAAGCTCAGAACGGGAGGGAAGTCTTCGGTACTGGAGAGAGTTCATGGGGAAGTGCCATTTTTTTTTTTAAAGATTAATTCATTTATGCATACAGAACTGGGGTACAGGCCAGAGGTGCAGGGGCGGTGAGAGGACTCACCAGAGACAGAACAGGCAGATGGACGAAGTCCACTGCTAAGGGGGGCAGTGGGTGGGTCAGAAGCAGTCTGCTGTGCCCTGTAGGTCACCTCCCTGGCCAGGGCTTGAACTTACAATATTGCAGTGGCTGCAGACAGCTTCATAGTGCTGTGCTTTAACCTGTTGCACCACCGGGGAGGGCCCAAAATGTGGATGCCTTTTTGCAAATGCAAAGACTGAATCTTTGGGAGCTGAACTTCCCAACGATGGCTACAAACAGCTGACCACACTCCAGCTTACCCCTTGAGCTCCGGGTTGGGAAGTGGCTTTAGGTTCCAGGCAGGAGTGGCACTGCCAGCTGTGAGTCAGAACTCATGGGTGTGTGGGCAGCAGTGGGACCCCAGACACCCTGGGAGAATTCCTGAATCTGCACGCTGCAGCCCGGCACAGTTGAGGACGCTCCCCTTCCAGAATGTCGTGCTTGCCAGTGGTGTGACCTTTCTTTCGCTGCATCCACTTTTCTCTTCCCACTCTTGTTCTTGACAGATGTCGATGAGTGTCAGTTGGGCACACACACCTGTGGGGAAAATGCCACCTGTACCAACACAGACGGAAACTATACCTGCTTGTGTGCTGGCAGCCTCTCTGAACCTGGTCGGATGTGCCCTGGTAGGTGGGATGATCTAGATCCAGGGCTCTGAAAGATTCTGTTCCCCAGTGTATTTGCATCAGAGATTCTAGAATCGACTACATCAGGCTGGCAAATTCACTTTCCTAATCAGGTTGGTCCTGGGCTTGAGAATGTGACAGGGTCCAAGTTTTCTCCATGGATTAGCAACAGGAATAAGTCTTAGTATTACTCCCATTTCAGTAAAGGTGGGGACACGGGTGGTTCTCCTTAACCTGTGACTAATGTCCCAATTTGTCATGTTGTTTTCTGGGGCTGCTGTAAAATCTCTGCAGGGTGAGACAGATTGGGGAGGGTGTCTGGAACGCTGCATTTGTATCGCTTTTGAAGATTTTAAGCTCGCTACTTTCCAAAGTAGGTACTTCTTGAACTGAATTAGAATCCCACCTCTTTGCCCTTTGTTTTTAAACATCAATCACAGCTGACACCTGCTTCCTGGACCCCCATCAACATAATGGCAGGGTCACCTGGCCATGGGCATCCAAGAAGTGGGGCTCCATCAAAACTTGGGCCTCTTCCCCACCACTGCCAGCTGCTCCCCTTCTCAGCTCTACAAACAGCAAAATCCTAAGGAAGCAGAGTTCTGTCCTTGCCTAGACCTGCATTTTATTTTAAGCATATTGTGTTTCTCAAATGTGCTGTTTTTTTTTAATGTAATAATTTATTTTTACATCATTTTGTGCATTTTTCCATCTCAGTTGTAATCCCCGTGGGCAAATGTGCTGTTCTTAAAGGTACTGACAGGCTGCTAGTGTTCGTGTAGTCAACTAACACCCTCATGGTTTCTTCCTACAGAGCAGCCAGCCATTCTCGGAAAGGGCCCTTCCCACTTTGCACTCCCTTGTTACAGGAACTTTCCTTTCTGTCAAAGTTGCTTCAGTCTCCACAAGTTCTCCCAAAGTAAAATAGTTTTATTTTATTTTTGCATAGAAGAGCTGGGGTATATGTAGGCTAGAGGTAGGGGGGTGGGAGGATTCACCAGAGAAAGAGTGGGGAGCAGAACAGGCAGGTCAACTAAGTACACTGCTGAGGGGAGCAGTGGGTGAGACAGGAGAGGTCTGTTGTCCCTTATGCTGGGGGCAAACTCAGGCCTTGGTGGTGATAGCACTGAGACTTAACACCTAGGCCACCAGAGAGGCCCTGAAATAGTGGGAAGAGTTTCAGAGACTGCTAGGATCTTGGGGTGACAGATTGTATTGTGGGTGGTGTATAAGCCATAAGGTGATAGTGTTGGGTGAGACCCTCAAGCCGTCATGTCATGCACAGCTTCCTGTTTTGGGGGTGACATGTGCTTTCGAAACGAAGCCAGTGCCTGTGGCTGGGGCCTGACCATCCTCTTCTTTGCCTGTAGTCTGCTTTCTGTGTAATTGTGAACCCAGAGAAAGAGGGACTTCCTCAGGGGGAGTGAGCTGAAGGCTGATAAGGAAACAAGAAAACACTTCGCCTAGTTCTCCTGCTACTAAAAGACACCATATATACGGCCTCCTTGGTGGTACAAGAGGTTGAGTCTCAGCGCTATGAAGCTAGCCCCAGCCCCTGCAGCACGAGTTCAATCCCGGGCTCTGGAGGTGACCCACATGGCGCGGCAGACCTCTCCTCTTTCCCGCTGCTCTCATCAGCAGCGTATTTCAGTAAACCCACCTGTTCTGCTCCCCACTGTCTCTGGGGCATCCTCTCACCCTCATACCTCTGGCTTGTACCCCAGTTCTTCCCCCCAGACAAATATAGTATCACAAGTGGGTCTCAAAAAGTATTCCTGATGCGGCTCCTGAAATGCCGGTCACTTGATAAACCAAAGTGATGTCTCCGCTTCCCGCAGGCTCCACCCCCGCCCCTCCCGTCGCGGAGGGGGGCAGCTATTCGGTGAGGAGGCTCCCCCAGGACTGCCCCCCGTCCCACGAGGGATACTGCCTCAACGGTGGCCTGTGTATGTATTTTGAAATAATCCACGAATACGCATGCAAGTAAGTCCGGCAGTCTCTGGCCACACAGAGATGATTGCTACCCCGGCTTTGGCTAATGCGTAAAATGTATAGGGTTTTCCTACAGTTACAGTGGACAGTCTAGAAGTCTCTTGATTTTACATCAGGGAAAAAGGAGAAATACACATAGAAATTAACGGGTGTGTGTGCGCATGTGCATTGAGCCCTGCTATCACCGCTCCCAGCTGCCGGGGTAAATACAAGCGGAAGGCTTGGCGAGGGCCCCTTATATTTAAAGTGTTGCCACTGGTACCTTCTGGGGTTAAAACTCTCCTCCTGGTGGAAAACTGAGGCTGTGAGAAGATTCCATTAACTGTGCATTTACTTTCCACCAAATCTCTGGAGAACAAGATGGAGCGTTTCTGGGTAGACAGAAGCGTGGCATTATAGTCCCATTGCATGTTGCCTGCTGTTGTCCAAACTCAGAAACAACCGTGACCTGTATTTCCTAAGACGTGTTGTTTCAGTCCGTGGCTGTGGTTGTGAAATCTGCTTCCTCACCTTTTGTCCTGGTGATGGCTTCAGTGGGGAGCACAGTGTCCCCGGGAAGTGGGTGCCAGAACTGGCTCCCTACAAAGCCTTTGGCGGACAGCTGGGAGTGGGGTGCAGGGTAAGGGTAGTGGAGCACGGTGGCGTATATTGGGGTTCTGGTGCTGCGCATGGTGTGAACTCACACACTGGTAGAGGTTGAACGCCCCCCCCCCAAACGCAAATGCGGTGATGTCAACCAGCTTCACCCCAATAAACATAAGTTAGCGGAGGGAAAGCAAACCTTTCTCTTACAGACTGGGATGAAACCTCACTCACAATATCCACTTCTTTTAAAGACTTTGCTTGGCGTTAAGGGCGTGTTTTGCAGGCAGTGCAAGGGAACATATAGATAGTGAAAAATCAGTTGATCCCCCACACCAGCCTCCTCACTCCTGATGTGGTTCTCCAGGTGAGAGGAAGGTGTGCTGACATATTCTGGTGCCGTGACAGATGCTGTGAGCACACAGGCTTTTAAGATTATTATTTTATCAATAAGGATGAGCAGAAGCACAGTCTAAATTATTAGGAAATAAGATATATCCTGTGACAAAGTGTATATAACCTTACAGTAAATGGTGTCAGGCTGACAAAAATAATGAATAATGCTTGTGCATATGAGTATGAATGGCTCAGGTCAAATATAAGTCTGCTTTCCTATGGATATTTGCATGCTGTGAATTTTTAACGTAAGATCAATCTCTTACTTCCAATAGTTTACGCTTGATTTTGATTATTAGGGTAAAAGTGTTTTTGGCTTATCTATTTCTTATGGTCCCAAATAACACAATTTTGAAAGCAGATGTCCTAACTTATTAGTTCCGGGTTTGTTTTCCTCTATGATGCTTTACCTTTGGGTTTTAAAAGACATTCTAATACTCTGAAGGTCACTGCGGGGTGACAGGTCGCACCCAGTACTTTCTTTTCATTTTGCCGATTCACTAAATAATTTATACACTCTCCAGCACACGGCTTTTCTTTCTGTTGTTCAGTCCTAGTGAAAATACATATTCCCATGATGTTTTAAACGTAAGTTGCTAAAAAATGACAAACTGAAGAGAACACTCAAATGTGAGGACCTTTCATCAGGAGCCACATTTAAAATAGCAGAGTTCCCAGCCATCCGGTTCAGAATTTTTGAATTGACATTTACTAAAAATGTGATCGACGCTAACATTGGCCCTCTGTCTCTGCCCCAATAATGGTCTCACCTTATGTCAATTCCATAATAACAACACTTCACAGGCCTCATCGGATAAAGTGTTCTTGACGCCACTGGAGACTGTGGGGATGGCCATCGGACACAGGGACTCCAGGGTGCCTGGGGGTACAGAGCACGGGGTGGGGGGCAGTGTTCCTCAGAGGAGACCAACCCACCGAGCCCAGACCAGGCCCTCACTCATCCTGGCTCGGCTTTGAACTCGCCCACATTGCACATGGCTGTTCTTTAACGCCCTTACTTTGAAATGTTTCATGCAAACAGGGCTGGGGATGGGGGTGGGGGTCACACCCGCTTTGGAACTGATACCATTTTCCACGGATGAAAATGTCATCCTTAATTCCTGGGACAAAGAGCACATGAAAAAGGGTGGCTGACTTTTACTGAATCCAGAAGTTCTTGAAATTTTCTGACCATGGAGATGCAAGTTTATTCAGCCAGTGGTATAAAAGAAGAATGAGTTAAGAGCTCAAAGAACCAATGGTGTATGGGTCACACCGGGAGATGCTGGCCTGGGCAGTGGGCAGCTCTCAGGGCTCTGGCCTGAAGGCCCCCTGGGCTCAGCGGGGGCCACCTCTGGCAAGTTTGCCTCTTGGCAAACTCCCCAAGTCTTCAGAGGATCAGGGGACTTTGGCCTTAACTTTGAGCACTTTCAAAGTGGCTGCTAGGCGTTGATACTCCATGGCTAGAACCGGGATGTCTGGAGTTGAAAGCATGCCAGGGAAATGGAAGGACTTGAAAGTCACTGTGTCACCAAAAATGGAATGGGTAACGGTGTCTCATGCAGTGTCAATCATATTCGGTGCAGAACGCTCCTTCCTCTCCCTTCTTGGTCTGAAAGTGACCACAGTACTGTCACCTCCAACTCAAGGGAGTCCTAGGTACTGAACCCCCCCTTCGCTCAGCTTCCCGCCTCTCCCCCTGTGGCCTCTTCCCACAGGCCACCAGAGTACACAGGTGTCAATTCTCTGTGTACTCAGTCCTCGAGGGCCTTTGGGAATAAAATGAGGACGTGGATCTTTGGTCCCTTAGCACGTGGGCCTCATGACATATTTAAGTCCTCAGCTGCATCAGTGTCTGCTCCTGCAGAGAGAGAACACCCCTGTTCCATCCAAGACCCTCAGTTTCCCGCAGCTACACTGCCAGTAGATGGCAGTGTTACCTCATTTACTTCATCTGCAGCTTCGCTGTGCTGTTCATTATTTCGATAAATATGCACGCATGGAGCAGCATGATGCATAGGGAGAATGCCCCCCTCTCCCCGCCACTGAGCGCCCCCTCCTCGAAGTAGCTAAGCAAATGCTTTGCATCCCCCTGCAACATCTCTCATACCAGCAGTGACTTCTTTCCAGGAGGAAGAGCTGTTTGCTCTGCAGACTTTTCTGCAAAGAGCTGACACACAACACGTCCTTCCATAACCTGGTAGCAAGTGAGGGCTCTGCCTTCAAATTCCTCCTTGATTTGACTGCTACTTGCTGTCTGGCCAGGCATTTGTGGTAAAAACTCCTGCCTCTAGGGAACAGCTGCCTCGAGGTGGGTCCTTGGGATTTTAGCCTAACGGGAACTGAGCTTTAATCTGTTTCTGCAAAGCCTCTGAGAGGCGCAATGCAAGTAGGCCCTGCCCCCTCTATGGGGCAGACCCACCAGAGAGGACATGGGTGCTGCAGGCCCTTGCACATCAACTTGACCCGCCCCAGGAATCTTCCATGGGCTTCCGAAGAGCAGAGTCTCAAGATGCAGAGGTGGGGTCTGGGACGAGAACGCATGTAGGGGGAGCGGCTCCTGCTAAGGGCTGTGGGTGTCGCCACAGGTGTCCCACGGGCTATATCGGGAGCAGATGCGAGTACCTGAACATCTGGGACATGCGCCGTGCTGGCCACTGGCGACAGCTGGATATCACCTTGCTGGTCGTGTGCGTGGTGTTGCTGGTCTTGCTGCTCGTCCTGGGACTGGGGGGCGCGTACTGGTACAGGTGAGCTCTCCCTCCCTCGCCCTCCAGGGAACACCTGCCTCCATGACCTGCACTCCTAGGCACTCAGGACCTTTCAGGAGTAGAACAACAGTAAAAGGTGCCTTGAGATTTCACTGTAACGTCAGGGTTTGGCTTTTTCTTGTCCCATTCTAGGCCCTGTTTCTGCACAGTGGGTTTGTGTGGGTTATTTAACATCCTGTGTTGGGCTTCCACTTGTTTCTGTTGGCATCTCCTGCATGCACACTTCCTCAACCCCCCTGCCCCTGCGTAACCGTAATTTTTTCATGGCTGCTTTCAGTCCAGTGGATTGGTCTCAAGGAACTCAGTGTCTCGTCCAGACCGGAAAGTTTCTGGTCCTTGGGATACTGTGTTTTCAGTAAGTTCCAGTTCAAGTTTAAAAACTGTGGATCAACTCTGCCTTTACTTAAAAAAATAGCTCCTCTGGGTCTCCCCTAGTGGTGCAACGGGTTAGGACGCAGCACTCCAAGCTGTCAGTAGCCGCCTCGGTGTGAGTTTGATTCCCACCCCAGAGGTGACCTACATGGGAGAGGAATAATGCATTCTGTTGCTCCTTTTCCATTTTGTTCAAAAACAGGACACGATCTCCACTATCAACACTGAAAAGTTTTTATCTTCTTTCGTTGTCTGGCTTGTGCAAAATCCATGAGTGGTACCACTTCCTGGCAGAATAGGACTTTATACATTTATTTAACTCAACATCATCATTTTGTGGGGGAAGAACTTAAGACCCACTTAACCAACAGATGCCAGTTCTCTGGAAATGTATAAAATCCAGCCACATTTTCTCTTACTGCCCATGTAGCTGCTATCTTGTGATATGAAGGGTTCACATGGCATCCGGGGGTGATGTGAGGTGCTGATGGGTACTAGCACAGGTGTTAAGAGCAGGGACTCCAGAATGAGACTGCACAGGTTCAAATTCCCACTCAGGCCATCACAACAGGCATGCAGGTCATCTAAACTCCGTGTTCAGTAATTTCACCATTAAATGGTGACAGGAATAGGACTTGTAAGTTAATGTGCATTTAAGTGACTAAGTGAAGAGCCAAGGGAGGGTGTGGCATATGGCACATGATAAAAGTGAAGGAAAGTGAAGGAACCTATCGTTCTCATGGTGACATTATGCGAACAGTCCAAACTCTTTGTTATTTTGAGACGCAAGATTTTCAGTTTCAAACTTGATCTTGTAATTCAGTGGTCTTTCAGTGACCAAAACACTATTTGGATGGATGTTTGCAGAAAGAGTATTAAAGAACCAATGGTAAACCCCACTGGACAGAATGTCCAAGAAAACTAGATGGTTGGCAAATTAGGGGGAAAAGTGGAAGCAAGAGAATTAAATTCATATGTGCCATAGTAAATTCTGTTTTCTAATTCTATAGACATGAACACATATTTTATATTCTGTAGACATACTTGGGGGGCTGGATGGAAAACTCATGGCAGATTGCTAGCTTTTTAAAAAAGATTTATATATGCATAGAAAAACTGGGGTACAGGTCAGAGGTGTGGGGGACGGGAGGGTGAGAAGATTCACCGGAGACAGAGTGGGGAGCAGAAGAGGCAGATCTACTGAAATACACTGCTGAGGGGAGCAGTGAGTGAGACAGGAGAGGTCTGCTGTGCCATGTGGGTCACCTCCCTGGCTGGGGATCGAACTCAGGCTGTTGCAACCAGGATGGGCCTCAAGAGACTTTTTATGTGTTTAAAACTTAGGTGCACTGGACACCGGATGACAGAACTCAGAGGAGCCCACATTGGCTGGAAAACAAATAAGTGACACACATTGCTGTTTTTGGCAGGAAGATGAATGAATTCCTAACGCCTGCCTATGCTGATGGGCACTAAGAGAAAGAGAACACTGTTGGGTTCTCTTTCGTTTTACTAAACTACAACAAAAACTGTAAATGTCTTTCTGAGTGAATCTATGGCTTTGTAAACAGAAGTCTGTTCAGAACTGCTTACCCCACTTCCAATTTTCCAGTGTGTCTGACAACGTCTGTACACCCACGAATCGATTCTGACAAGATCAAATTAAAACTGCTAGTGTAAATATTGCATGTCACTGAAGTAGATTGAAAACTACGGCTCTAGCACTGAGTTTTTAAACCAGGCGTGTTAAGGAAGTCAGAATCCTTTATTTCTTCCCTGTTGTGTTATCACTCTTTGGCGTCTGTCAGATGGCGGCTTTGACATCACTTGTCTTATATCTATCAAAGATGATTGTTCATCAGGTTACTGATTTTGAAAGCTTCATATTAGTGCATAAAACTAGATTTCTTGGAAAGACCTCCTTGTAAGAAAATCAACAGGAACTAGTTTGCTGCCAACATTGTCTTCGTAACTTGGCGACTGTTGACGTTAGCCACTCGCTTCAACTTTTTTCTTGATGCCTTTGATGAAAAATAGGACACCCCAGAAGCATGTGCACCTATGTCAGTGTGAGGCTATGCTCCCCAAATTACCTAGTTATGCAAGTGACTGGCAATTCAGTAAAATTTGAAAATAAATAAGTAAATGAAAGATCATTGACTCACATGATAGCCACTCAGTAAATACAAAATTTTAAGGAAAAAAAACCAACTCACAAGCCTCCTTGGTGGCGCAAGGGGATAAGTCTCAGGGCTGTGAGGCTATCTGCAGCACGAGTTCCATCCCCGGCCAGGGAGCTGACCCACACGGCACAGCAGACCTCCCCTGTCTCCTCGCTGCTCCCCTCAGCAGCATATTTGAGCCGATCCGCCTGTTCTCCCACTCTGTCTCTGGTGAATCCTCTCAGCCCCACACCTTTGGCCTGTACCCCAGTTCTTCTGTGCATAAATAAATAGATCTTTAAGAAAATAAAAAAACTCACACCATGTCCTGGAATGGGATTTTCTCAGCAGCTCGCACCTCCCTGTGGTATCCACAGGCAAAGGGACTTAGTGAGTGCTAGCACCCTCAGAGAGCAGCACTGTGGCTCTTGACTGTCTGTGGTTTCCCCTGAGGTGCGGCTCAGAGCACTGTGTGTCTCCTGCCCTGTGGATGGACCTGCCCTCTCACCTCTCTGCCCCTGCTTGACCCCGCTGCCCCCCAGTACCTGACACCAGTCCTGCAAGAGATTAGTGCTTGATGTTTGTCAAACAAATAAATGTTTGTAAAACATTTATGTTTGCAGCCAGGGCACCTTCTGTACTCCTGGCTTGGCGCTGACAGACAGTATCCCGTTGAGCCTTTCACTTCTCAGGCTCTTGGCTCTTAATGTTTTTGCAAGGGGGGTGGCAGGTGGCCAGTGTGGGGGAGCCTGAGGCTTTACTTCGCGATCCAGGTCCTGGGCTCACCTAGAAGTTGGGTGCCTGCGTGAGTCACCCCTGTTTTTGAGCCCTACTGTCTTCCTTTGTCAAGTCTGCATCACACAAATCGTTTCCATAGACACCCCCTGCACTTTAAGTTCATTAAGGAAGATATTTCATTGTCATTTTTCTGTTGTTTCATCCTGATCACTAGGGCCATTCCTGGGAAATAGGTAGTTCTCAGCATGTACCCGTCAATGAAGGCTTGATGGCTACCCCTTAACCCCAACACTCAATCTCACAGAACTTGGACAGAGGGACAGGCTATCTGGCAAGTTCTGTAAGAAAAAAACTGCCCTAAAACCCAAAGGACTGAATTCAGTCCCAGCAATACTTTTCTCTGTCCATCATGGATTTGGGGGGTGGGAGGAGGTTTCTTTTGAGATTGTCTGGCTGTGTCTCACCTTGGCTTTCTCACAGGACTCACAGGCAGCTGATGAAAACTCCGAAGAATCCTTATGAGGCCTGGAGCAGAGAGGTGAGCGGAAGCCGGCCTATGGATACTGCGACTGAGACATCCTCCTGTTCCCAGACTGGGGTAATGCAACCTAGTAAATGAAGACAGATTGGCTTGCGGTTAATCACAGTTCATTTTTTTCCCATTTTCATTGAACTGGAATCTTGTTAGGTAGAATGTTGGCCAATCCCCCAGCCAACATTTCAGCAAGGAGTCGGGGGGAATGGTGAGAGTAGAGAACTATTTCTGAAATCATCTGGGCCACTAGAATTACAGGCATATAAATTTAGGCAATGAGTCTCTTCTTCCTGTGACTTATATTTGGTTGTGTCCTGTGAAAAGTCTTTATTTGTGGGTGATTCCTTTGAAATGTGTGTCTTAAAAGCCCAAGATTGAGCTGTCAGGTTCCATAAGATTTCTTTTCTCATAGAAAAGAAATTTTTTTAAAGATTTTTATTTATTTATTCGTACAGAACTGGGGTACAGGCCAGAGATGTGGAGGGTGAGAGGATTCACCAGAGATGAATGGGGTACAAAACAGGCAGATCGACGAAGTACACTGCTGAGGGGAGCAGCGGACGGGTCCAGAGAGGTCTGCCGCGCCATGTGGGTCACCTCCGGGGTGGGGATCAAACTTATGCTGAAGTGGCTTTAGCTTCTTAGTGCTGTGCTTTAACCCCCTGCACCACCAGGGAGGGCCTCTCATAGATCTTTTAAGCCCCTTAATTTCAACAGTGAAATAGTTACCAAGTTCAGCAAATAAAATAATCTGTGCTAATGCAGAAAGTTCAGATTTAAATTCACACACCACCAGGTGGCCTGTGTTTTATCTGGCAACTCTAGATGTTTTACTAAAAAGCACAGGTCCTAGGGCATTGGAAATGGTGGGTAGACCAGGCAGTCCAGGATCTGACCTGGGGCCCAGAGGGCAGACTTGAGGGCTAGGTTCTCTTAGCTGTGGGACCGGAACATCCCCGTCTAGAAACCCATCAGATGTGGTGTGACTGGCTCTGTGTGTGCTGCTGTGTTATTTGGGGCACATCTTGTCAGGCTGGAGGGTTGAAACCAGTGGAAACAGGGGAAAGGCTATTACTGGAGAGAACGTTGAAGGTCAAGGTGATATTGAGGGTCCTTCCGCATCACTCCCCATGGTCCCCACTTAAATCTTATGTGCTTGTCCAGAGCAGCTTTCCTATGGCTCAGTGCACACTGATTTTTGGTTGAGCTTGAGTAGGGTGATGCAGTCAGAAATGCATGCTCCCTCCAACTGGCTGTCTTGACTTCTGCAAGCCTTTGTTTCCTTTTCGGGATGTCAAGGGGTGTGGGAGAGATGGGCTCTAATATCCCTTGACCTGGTGATTCCTTAAATGTGATGTGTCTCAGTTCTTTGAGGCCTTAAGACAGAGTGGGGAGCAGAACAGGCAGACTGACTGAAATACACTTCTGAGGGGCGCAGCAGGTGGGTCAGGAGCAGTCTGCCACGCCGTGTGGGTCAGCCCCCTGGCGGGGATCAAACTTGTGCTGCAGAGGGTATAGACAACTTCATAGTGCTGTGCTTTCACTTCTTGTGCCACCATGAATGCCCTACGCTCATTTGTTTAGTTTTTTTTTTTTTTAAAGATTTATTTATTCATACAGAACTGGGGTACAGGCCAGAGATGCGGAGGGTGAGAGGCTTCACCAGAGACAGAGTGGGGAGCAGAACAGGCAGATAAACGAAGTACACTGCTGATTGGAGCAGCGGGCAGGTCAGGAGAGGTCTGCCACGCCATGTGGATCTCCTCCAGGGCAGGCGGGGATCGAACTCATGCGGAAGTAGCTTTTGATTCTTAGTACAGTGCTTTAACCCACTGCGCCACCAGGGAGGGCCAGTTTTGTTTTGTTTTTTAAGAAAAATTTAAAATGACCACTGGAAGAGGGGCCTTAAGATCACCTAGGCTCTCAGGCTGTTCTCAAACCCAATCTGCTTCAGCTGGAAATGTAGTTAAATAAACACCCTTTGACAGAGTTCTTTTGCCAAGAGTTGCATAATGATAAACATATTGGTCTTGGGTCTCAGATATCATATCGTCTCGTGACTCAAAGGAACAGGGTGGGCCTGTTCTGTATCATGAGCTGTTAGCAGGGCCTAGGAAAACTTGGAGCCAACCAAACAGCTCACCTGCTGATCAGGAGGCTCCAGCTCCACTGCTGACACTTCCTTCCATGTCTGTTCTTACCCATGGTGCTCTCTACACCCATGCCTTGCAGAAAGAACAGGCCTCCTATGCAGAAGGCTCACACTAACCTCCTCTCTTGCATCTATGTCACCACATGGCCCAGATTCAGAAGAACTTGATTCCTTATGTTGAGGAACTCCTGGATAATTCAGTGCACTTCAGAGCTGAATATTAAAATGACAGTAAACATGATGCTGTTCTAGACATCTTCTGTCCCCCATGTTGTGGCCTGGATGACGAAGACAGTCAGCATTTGCAAATGTTACTTGAGGTTTTTGTTTTTGTTCTGAGCACTATTAGAAAGCAATGGGGTGTGTTATGGAGTCATACTACTGTGGCTTGTGCAAAAAAAAAAAATGCATGGTTCTTTATTACAAAGATGACTCACTTAGAAAAACAGTATGGAAGTTTCTCAGGTTATTAATAATAGATCCAGCAACTCTACTCCTAAGTATGTACCCAAAATATACAAAAATAGCAGTTCGAAAGGTAGCAAGCTCTGAAAGCAATCTAAATATGCAAGTATGGTTTACTGGGTTGGGAAGGTGTGGTCTGGACACACAACGGACTACTCCTCAGTTGTCAAAACAACAACTCTTGCCATTGGTGACCACATGGATGGAACTGAGAGGGTTCTCCTCTGTGAAGTAAGTCAGAAGGAGAAGGATAAATACTGATGGTGTCACTTACATGAGGAATAGAGAGACACCCTATCCAACAGTCAGAGAAAGCTAAACTACCACAGAATTTGGAAATTTGACTGCAGCAGAACTGATGTTGCCAGGGTGGGGGCAGGGGGAGATGAAGGAGGTGAGAACAAAATGACAAGGAGCACAATGGACTGTGGCCACCTTAGTGGAGGCTGTGGTGTGGTAACAACCTGAGTGGGAAGATCCTCTTCCTCTACCTCTAAATTATCTGCAATATTGTTCACTCATCTTACCTCACATAAATAAATAAAGTTGCTCTGTATTCCCAACAGTTCCCGCGAATGAACGAAAAAATATAAACAGGTCACCTGAGAACAAAATTAATGTGTTTGTTTGAAACAAACGTACAAGCTCCATGGACTCCCTAGGACTCCTCCCCGAATTTCCTCATGACAGAATTCTCATGATTGTGGTTTGTGTTCTTTGAAGACTCAGACGTCCTTTTATTCATTCGTGACTGAATACACTGTCTTCTGAGTCTTCATGTTATTAGGTTCCATTGCAACTATTAAAATTGTACCGTTTTCCTTGGAGGGCACAAAAGACACACTTCACAGGTGCATAGCATGTAACTTTGCAGGGTGATCAGTAGCCCCGTGACTCGGAAGTGTGTATTTCACACCCCTGGGAGCGTAGCTCGCCTCAGAAGGAACTAAGGTCTGAGCTGAGCACTCAGGAATAAATGGGAGCTCTCCCTTCTGCTCGCTTTCTGTTGCACGACTTTGGCCCTTTCTCTTGGGCCCCTCACAGCCGGACTCCCACAGTGGTGCTCACATCCCTGCTCCCTGTGCTGAAATGTCTTTTCTCTTTTGGGACAGAGTCAATGCAGCCAGGCTCCTGAAGGTCTGGATGTGTGCAGTCAGCACCCAGAAGGACCCCCACCACCCACCACCCCGTGACGCAATCCCACCCTCGGCTGCAGTCCCATCTCCCCGACTTGGGGCTCTTTGGTCCCGCACCACATTCTGCGGCAGCAAAGGGCCCCAGATCCACGGCACCCAGTGGAGCTGATCCACAGAGAACTGGAGCAAAAGAGAAGGGCCCAGCAGAGCCAACTGTATGAACCCCATTGACACTTCAAGAAGCAGAGATGGATTTTCCGATTCTGTACAGTGCTCACCACTCGGTATCCCAGACACATCAGTGGCTGTGCTTTTGTTTCCTCTTTCAGTCCTGCAGAGCTGAAGACAGAATATTCTGGATAATCACCAGCTCACTCTTTAGACACCAAGGATGGAAATGGTCTTTAAATGGCGTCGTCCTCAATAGTCAAGATATTTTTTTGTAGCTTCAGAAAATATCTGGGACTAAAAGCACGCAACCACCCTTGTAGGGTCAGTTCCACTTTCTTTTATCTGGACAACATTTAGCTCAGTCTCACGAATAGTGAGAACACCGGTTTGTAGTTATGATACATTATAGGCTTACACTTTGCACTTGTGTGATCCATGCTGGTAATCTCGTAGTGAGTTATGATGGATGAAAATATACTAATTTACAAATTGATTGCTTTAAAACTCTATGACTTTTTAAAAGTTTTGAATGAAAATGTGTCAAGGAAAACACTCCCTCCCTGACATAGGAGGTTAAGAGAACCCTAAAGTAGACAAGCATAATACAAGAAGATGACAGCCAAACTCAATCATATTAAAGATACAAATGTGTGATCAAAGCATTAAAAAATGAGCTCAGCAATCCATTCAAAAGATAGCATGTGACCAAGTGGTGATTTTATAATACAAGAAAAATAGGTTAAATACTTAAAAGAAGTTAGCATAACTCAACATCAACACAATAACAAATCCAAAAAAAAAAAAATTTAAAGTTGTCAATAAAATTGCACTTCTATCCCTGACAAAATCTTTTTGTTATGTATAATTTTTCTATTATGTAAACAAAGAACCTTTGTTTTATGTCCTTGTTAGTATTTGAATAGGGGTCCTCTCTGGTGGTACAAGAGGTTAAGTCTCAGCACTATGAAGCTATCAGCACCCACTGCAGTATGAGTCGGATCCCCAGCCAGGGAGCTGACCCACATGGCGCAGCAGACCTCTCTTGTCTTGCCTGCTGCTCCCCTCAGCAGTGTGTTTCAGTCAGTCCACCTGTTCTGCTCCCCACTGTCCCTGATGAATCTTCTCAGCCCCCAAACCTC